ATCTCTCCTTTCTTTTCTCTCTCTCTATCTCTTCTCTCTTTCTCTCTTCTCTCTCTCTTTCTCTACTCTATCTCTCCTCTCTCCTCTCTTTCCTCTTTCGCTCTCTTTCTCTCTCTTTCTCTCGCTGTCTCTCTCTTCTCTCGTCCTCTTGTCTCTCTCTTTCTCTCGCTCTGTTCTCTCTTTCTCTCGCTTAGTCTCTCTCTTTTGTTCTCTAGCTACTGTCTCTCTTATCGCTCGCTCTGTTCTTCTTTCTCTCGCTCTGTCTCTCTTTCTCTACGCTCTGTATCTCTGTCTCTCGCTCGTGTCTCTCTTTCTCTCGCTTTTCTCCTTCTTTCTCTCGCTCTGTTCCTCTCGCTTTTCTACGCTCTGTCCTTTTTCATCTGGTCTCTCTCCATCTCTTTCTCTACATCTCTCTCTGTCTACTCTCTCTCTCTTCTCCTCTCTCTCTCATTTTTCTTCTCTCTCTCTTTTTTCTATGTCTCTCATGTCTCTCTGTCTTCTCTCCTTTTGCTCTGTCCCCTATGTTCCTCTCTCTCTCTCTCTCTCCTCCTCTCTGTCTCTCTCCTCTCTCTCTACTCTCTCTCTCTCTCTCTCTTCTGCTCTCTCGCTACTTTCTCCTGTCTATATAGTCTCTCTATCATTCTTTATCTGTCTCTACGCTCTCATACGTCTCTCCATATCTCCTCTCCCTCCTCTATCTCTGTCTCTCCGGTCTCTCATTTATCTGTCTCTCTGTATCTCCGTATCTCTCGTATCTCTCTTCAATACTTCTCTCTGTACTCTATCTATCTTTCTATGTCATCTCTGTATACTGTCTCTCTCTACTCTTTCTCTGTCTCTCTGTGTGTCTCTCTCCTCTCTTTCTCTGTCTCTCTCTGTCTCGCCTCTCTGTCTTCTACTCTTTTCTCTATCTCTCTCTTTCTCTCATCTCGCTCTCTGTCTCTCTCTCTTCTCTTTTCTCTCTCATATTACTCTCTGTCTCTCTGTCCCTCATTTCTCTCTATCTCTCTTTCTCTTCTTTTTCTGTCTCTCTCTCTCTTCTCTCTCTCCTCTCTTTTATCTCTTTCGTTTCTTCTCTGTCCATCCTTTCTCTCTTTCATTCTGCTCTGTCTCTCTCGTCTCTCTGTCTCTATCTCTCTCTGTCTCTCTTCTCTCTCTCGTCTCTCTCTCTCTCTCTTCTCGTCGTCTCTTCTACTCTTCTCTCTCTCTCTCTATCTCCGACCTTTTCTGTCTACTGTTCTCTTCTCTTCCTCTTTTCATATGTCTCACTCTCCTCGGTTTCTCTCTCTGTATCTCTAATCATTCTCCTGTCTCTACTCTCTTGTCTCTTCTCTACTCTCTCTCTCTGTCTCTATCTATCTCCCTCTCTCTGTCTCCCTGATCTTCTCTACTCTATGTCCCCTCTATCTCTCTTATGTCTTCTCTATGCTGTCTCTCTCGCTCTCTCTATCTCTCATACTCTCTCTCTCTCTCATCTCTCTTATATCTCTCTCTCTTCTCTCTCTCTATCTCTTTCTCTCATCTCTATCTCTCTCTATCTCCTTCTCTCTCTCTCCTTACTCTCTCTGCTCTCTCTATTCTCTCTCTCTCTCTTTCTATATCTCTCTCTATCTCTATATTATCTCTCTCTCTCTCGCTCTCTTATCTATTTACTTCTCTCTATTCTATCTTCTTTCTCCTACCTATCCTCTTCTGTCTGGTCCTTCTCTCTCCTCTCTCTGTATGATATATATCTCTCTATATCCTCTCCTGTCCTGTTCTCTCTCTTCCTCTCTCTGTATGTAATGTCTTCTACTATCGCCTCTCTCTGTCTGTCTGTCTCTCTCTCTCCTCAATATATGTAATAGTATATAGTATACTCGAATCTATATGTTTATCTGTAATATATATGTATATGTATATATCTGTAATATATATGTATATGTATATATCTGTAATATATATGTATATGTATATATCTGTAATATATATGTATATGTATATATCTGTAATATATATGTATATGTATATATCTGTAATATATATGTATATGTATATATCTGTAATATATATGTATATGTATATATCTGTAATATATATGTATATGTATATATCTGTAATATATATGTATATGTATATATCTGTAATATATATGTATATGTATATATCTGTAATATATATGTATATGTATATATCTGTAATATATATGTATATGTATATATCTGTAATATATATGTATATATATATATCTGTAATATATATGTATATATATGCAGTTGTGTATATCTTTACATATATTCAATACATTATCAAATTATTATGTTTGTATGTATATGTATTCATGTACTTGTATTTCTATACAGATACACATGTTTATATATGTGTGTGTGTATGCATATATATATATATATATATATATATATATATATATATATATATATATATATAAGGCTATAAACAGAAATGTTTTATTTTTCCATAATTTTGTGATATTTATTATTCATATGATTTTTATCTTTAGGTTGAAATGGCAAAGCAGCTTGTGTATGACTTAATAGCTGAGAAGGAAACCCAAGCAGCACAGTTTGGTAACCGTGGGCGTGGACGAGGTGGAGGTTTTGGTGACCGCAGAGGAGACAGAGATCGTAGTGACCGTGGAGACAGGGACCGTAGAGATAGGGATAGGGAGCGTGATGAGTACGGAGGGGGTGACGAGAGGGTAAGTTGACCACAAACAACATGAAACTCCACTCTTCTATTCCTTGTTTTGTATTTCTACATTTAAATCTTGTGAATTCATTGATGTCCATTGCAAATTTAGTATTTGTTGACACAAAATGGGCTCCACAAGAGCATAGTCAGCAAGGACTCAATTAATAGTTGCATTATATCTCATCTGTTTGAACCTTTTCCTTGTTTTATTCTTTATTTTTATTTGTTAATTTTTTATGCTATTATAATGAAAACAGTATTTCTTGTATAATAATCCCATTGTCATTAACTATCATTATGGTAATGATATTAATAGCTTTAACCCATTCACGCCGGGTAAAAAATTAACAAAAAATGGGGGAAATGCTGTCCTCATTTTTTATATTTTTTAATGAAATTTCTCTACACTAGATGGCTCTGCTTTACCGGATTTCATTTGGCGGGAAAATATATTTTTACTAGTGCTATGAATATCGATGGTTATTTTTATTATAAACATTATAATTACTATAATGTTATAAACATTAGTAACAGCAAAATAAGATAACGCAAAATAATTTTGTAAATCAAAGAAAAGGGTAAACAGACGAGACAGGCAGTACAAGTGCAAGTGGAGCCATCTATGTTTGTAAACAATCAAACAAGTAAACTCACAGTGTATCCATCACGTATACGTGACGCCCGGCGCGAATGGGTTAAAAAAAAAAAAAAAAAAAAAAGATCGAGTGTTCTAATTCAATTCTGCCTGGCCTCTCCTTGTGGTGTCATAACAAACCACTTGGTCTGCTGAGTACAGCTGTACAGCACAGCAAAGCGCTATGAGTGGGACATTTGGTTTGATGTTGTGATCTCCTGTGCTCAAAGTTGGCTTGATGCCATTAATCTCCAGAGTGTAGTATTTTTATTTATTTTCACCTGGTATGATGGGTAAAAAAAAAAGGGGGGCGGGGGTAAATGGAGGGAGAAATACAGCAGGCAGGGCTGTTAAACAAGGCTTACTAATTGTGGAGTCATCTGTTAACCCCTTCCCGACGGATGACGCCGATAGGCGTGAAAACAAACCGTTCGAAAGCTGGTGTGCAGCGGTGCGCCAAAGTGCGGCAAGCCAGTGATTCGGGCTGATGTACTGAACTCACGCGCTCAAAGTCGGCACGCTGCCATTGTTTGCCAGAGCGTAGAGTTTTTTCTTTTTTCTTTTTCTTTCTTCTCTTCTCTTCTCTTCTCTTCTCTTCTCTTCTCTTCTCTTTTTTCTTTTCTTCACCCGTCACCATTGGGTTAAGCCAAAGTCAGTGGGCATATTTACTGTCCCTTTTAGACTTTAGTGAGTTTTGTTTCATACAGATGGCTCCATGCCCAACAGCAAGGAGTCTATCAGTTGGCCCTAATAACCGATCATGATTTCCCCTTTCCTTGAATTGGCGGATAAATGTGTTTTTCTTTCCAGCACTACTCATTGACATTTTTATCATTCTTATTGATATTATGAGTATTAACCCCTTGCCGAGGGACATGGCATGTACGTACATGCCATGCCCATTGTGAGTTTACTTGTTTAATTGTTTTTGCACATAGATGGCTACACTTATACTAAGTCACCAATGAGCCAGTTACGGGTACCGCCTGTCTCGCCCGTTCACCCTTTTCATTGATTTATGAAAATATTTAACGTTATCATATTTTGCAGTTACAAATGTTTATAACATTTCAGTAATTATAATGTTTATAATAAAAATAACACCATCTATATTTATAGCACTAGTAAAAATACAATTTTTCATGCCAATTCAAGGAGAGGTGAAATCCTTTATGACTAAGCACTAGCAGAGCCATCTTGGAACAGGGACATTTCACAAAAATAAAAAAAATGAGCACAGAATTTCCCCCATTTTTTATTCATTTTCCCCTTCGAGAAAAGGTTAAATTATTAAAATTTTAAAATAATAAAATGAATCTTTGAAAAAATGAAAAGGGTAAACTGATGACATGGGTAAGACTAATAGCAGACTCTTTGGTGACTAAGCATTTGTAGAGCCATTTATGTGTAAAGACAATAGATAAAACTTTTAATACAGTGGGTATGGCATTGTTATCATGCCACTTGCTCTCATTGGGTTAATTATGATTTTAATTAGACAAGTGAAATACACTCATAAAGCAATTTTCAATAATATTGATTTATTGTTTCCTGCAAAGGCTTAAGGAGAAATAATTATTCATTTTTTCAAGGAAATCTACTATAAAAATGTTTCCTCTGTTTTGATATTAGAAAATACCATTACTCATTCAAAAAAAATTCAAAGTACTAATGCTTCTGTATGCTTCGTTAATACACTTAGATGTTTTTTTTTTTTTTTTTTTTTTTTTTTTTTTTTTTTTTTTTCTTCTTCTTCTTCTTCTTCTTCTTCTTCTTCTTCTTCTTCTTTCCAATTTCATAGCTTTCCTAGTTATTGATCCATGTCCTGGTCCAGTGTTGCTATATTAACCCTTTGGTGACAGGTTAAGAAAACTAGAAAAAAAACTACACCCTGGCGATCAATGGCAGCACGCCAACTTTGAGCGCGGGAGTTCGGTTCATCAAACCAAATCACCGGCTCACTGCGCTTTGGCACGCTGACACGGCGAACAGCCGCACGCCACATTTCAAGCGGTTTGTTTTCACGCCTAGAGGCGTGATCTGCCAGAAAGGGGTTAAAGGCTTTTACTCTTAGCATATCTAAGTAGATGCATAGAGAATGTATTTTGTTATAAATTTGAATTGTAAATTGTGTACAGGTGGATTTATATTTAATTTGATAAGTGTAAGGAAGTTGGAAAGCATGGATTATGTGGATAGTTGTTGCATAAGGATCTTGCAAATAATGGGGAAAATATCTACATCTTAACCTCATACCAATGGGCCATACGCTGAGGTGTCATAACAAACCACTTGATCTGTGGAGTGCGGCGATGCACCAAAGCACTACGAGCCGGGGGTTTGGCTTGAGGTAGCGAGCTCCCGCGCTGAAAGTCGGCTCGTTGCCGTTGATCTCTAGAGCGTAGTTTTTTTTTTTTTTTTTTATGAACCCATCTGTAAGGGGTTAATTTTCACAATAACTACAATATTAACCACACATGGATAGACAAGAGGTAGTGGATATTTGTCTCTTTGGGCCAGAGCTGCTGTAATAAAACAAGGAGGGGAATTGATGGGTTGGAGGAGGAGTAGTGTTGAAGCAGAGAAAAGCATGCTTACATAGAGACGCGCGCGCGTGCGCATACGCATGCATCTATTTGTGTGTATCGTCCCTTAAGTGTAAGGGATGTATGGCATTCCTTTTCCTTATTAGATACTGAAGTTTATAACCTGCAGAACTCTCACGAGTTCGATCCCCAACAGGAGCGCTTTGCTGGTCGTGGTGGACGAGGTGGTTTCAATAATGACTGGGGTCGTGGTGGCCCAGGGGGACCCCCAGGTGGTCCCATGGGCCGTGGTGGTTTTGGCCCCGGAGGTCCAGGTGGTCCAGGGGGGCCTGGAGGAATGGGAGGACCTGCTGGTCCAAGTAAGTAATGGCAAGCATTTTCATTGGCAATATAAGTGCATAGAACATGGCTTCATTTTTGTATGTATTTAGTTATCTTGTTTTTAAGAGTTTTCACTTCCTTCAGTGGGCCGTGGGGGACCTATGGGAGGACCCATGGGAGGAGGCGGACGTGGGGGTCCTGGAGAGAAAGTGGAGGCCTTTAATGTGCCTGCAAACAAATGTGGCCTCGTGATTGGGAAAGGTAAGGTCACTTTTTCTTACCCCCCTCTCTCTCTCTCTCTCTCTCTCTCTCTCTCTCTCTCTCTCTCTCTCTCTCTCTCTCTCTCTCTCTCTCTCTCTCTCTCTCTCTCTCTCTCTCTCTCTCTCTCATCTCTCTCTCTCTCTCATCTCTCTCTCTCTCTCATCTCTCTCTCTCTCTGCTCTCTCTCTCTCTCTGCTCTCTCTCTCTCTGCTCTCTCTCTCTCTCTGCTCTCTCTCTCTCTCTGCTCTCTCTCTCTCTCTGCTCTCTCTCTCTCTCTGCTCTCTCTCTCTCTGCTCTCTCTCTCTCTCTGCTCTCTCTCTCTCTCTGCTCTCTCTCTCTCTCTGCTCTCTCTCTCTCTCTGCTCTCTCTCTCTCTCTGCTCTCTCTCTCTCTCTCTCTCTCTCTCTCTCTCTCTCTCTCTCTCTCTCTCTCTCTCTCTCTCTCTCTCTCTCTCTCTCTCTGCTCTCTCTCTCTGCTCTCTCTCTCTGCTCTCTCTCTCTCTGCTCTCTCTGCTCTCTCTGCTCTCTCTGCTCTCTGCTCTCTCTGCTCTCTCTCTCTCTCTCTCTCTCTCTCTCTCTCTCTCTCTCTCTCTCTCTGCTCTCTCTCTCTGCTCTCTCTCTCTGCTCTCTCTGCTCTCTCTCTCTGCTCTCTCTGCTCTCTCTGCTCTCTCTGCTCTCTCTCTCTCTCTGCTCTCTCTCTCTCTCTGCTCTCTCTCTCTCTCTCTCTCTCTCTGCTCTCTCTCTCTCTCTCTCTCTCTCTCTCTCTCTCTCTCTCTCTCTCTCTCTCTCTCTCTCTCTCTCTCTCTCTCTCTGAATGTTAGTCTATTCCTTATTAGACTTTTGATTAATAGATACTGGTCTGTTTGATTAGGAGGTGAAACTATTCGTGGCATCAATCAGCAAACTGGTGCTCACTGTGAACTTGACCGTCGCCCTCCAAGTAATCCAAGCGAGAAGACTTTCATCATTCGTGGCAGTCCTGAGCAGATTGACAATGCAAAAAAACTGATTGCAGAAAAGGCAGGCATGGTAAGCTTTTGCAAGCTCAA